CTGAAGGCAACAAAAATAAAAACACAGGTGACAGTCCTTTTTCCCCCAAATGGTATAGGGCTGCTCACCACTAGATACTTTTGGTAGTCATACTTTTAAATAGAAGAACTCTGTGTATCTTTCCAGGAAGAATAATTTCTTCTACTACTTCTCTTCAAGCATGACATGTTAGATATTTTACAAATGCATTTGCTGCAACCCCCCCCCCCCAAAACAGCTTATACACACCTAAGATGTTTCCTTAAATAATTTAATTGTAAAGACAAGTGCTACGCAAACTAATTCCACCACAGTAAGAAATATGGCTTCCTCATTTTGTCTTGTTCTAAATTATGGACATCTGGAAGGCATGAATCATAAAAGTGATGTTACAAAACCATCTGTTTGTAACTGTGTAGACACTAGTCCAGTATGATTAGGTGATTGCATTGTTTAGTATGTTAACTCCCTTTCCCTGGAGGCAAAACAGTTTATGTCCCACATTACATTTTGAAAGCTCAGCCAAAGCTGTCTTTATAATGGTGGTAGTGGAATGCTAACTTCCTTTGGGCAGACATTAATATTAGCCCATACTCTACACTAGGGGTTCTCAACCTTGGCAACTTTAAGACTTGTGGACTTCAACTCCCAGCTTTGCTGGCTGAGGAATTCTGGGAGTTGAAGTCCACAAGTCTTAAAGTTGCCAAGGTTGAGGACCCCTACTCTACACAATCCAAAATCAAATGTGCAAAATTTAGTTTCTCTGTTCCACTACAAAACTTCTTTTCCAATGTTTCTAAGCAGACTATGACATTTGCTTAATTCTCAGGCTCCAACAACCTCACATCTGACAGTCAGAAAAGACTTGCCAGAATAAAGAATCTGTGCCTTTCTGAGGTAACTTATAAATCCAGCCAGAGAAACAGAATGAATGGCAATGAGTTTTCTATTTCCTAGACCTGCCTTCCCAGCCTGCTAGATATGTGAACACCCAGAGAGCTCCAAAACTGAGATAAATCCTTTAGTTTGACCCCTGGGAAATTTATGAGAAATTGATATACTAATATAGGGCTGTCAAACTGCTGGCCCACGGACCGGATGCGTCATGCCAAAACCGCGCCCACCCCATTGCCGACAATGGAGAAAAAGTCACGATACATTGCAACACATCATGTGACATTGCGAGTTTGACACCCCTGCACTAATACTTAACATCTCAATCACTTTTATATATGGGAAGTCCTTAACTTACTATTAGTGGCTGTTTGAAGTTACAGTAGACTTCCCCAGGGGTACTCATAACCTGGTTCTTAAGTTCTGATGCCTCCTCTACCATGGTCGTGAGAACGCATGTTGGACATTCAGCAACAGACCCACATTTCTGACTGTTTCATCATCCCATGGTTATATGACCGCATTTTATGATGGTTTTGCAAAAAAAACCTGGGCATTTATTTCTGGGTTTTGGCAAAACTGGCTCATAGCGAACAATGGGTTCACTTGATGACCATGGTATTCACTTCACAATCATTTGCTTAACAAATGAAAATAGGTCATAAAATTGGGTGGGTCATGTGAATTATCTCCTTTACGATTGTCTTGACTTACGACCATGATGTGCAGGCTCCATTATGTTAGTAAGTTAAGAATTACCTGTATGCATGGGATAACTGATAAAAGCTATGCCTTCTATTGTATCCAGAATAACATTTCCATCTGTCCCCTGGTTGGCCACAGTGACAAGCAAAATGCTCAGCCTCATCTAATAGGCCTGTTCTAATGTTCAAATATGTCAGGCTTTGGCTGTTACTACTATCTAGCACAACGCTTATAGTTCCTACTAAATAAATGTGCACTAGCTGGAATCCAGTTATTAAAGAACAGATTTAGTTATAAATACTATTTATATAAATATTTATATAAATATAAATACAGCTGGCTGATTGGCCATACTCAGTGTGTGGTCCTCAATGGAACTGCATCTACATGGATGGAAGTGTACAGTGGGTTGCCCCAGGGCTCTGTTATGGGCCCAGTGCTCTTCAACATCTTCATCAACGATTTGGACGAGGGGATAGATGGAGAACTCATCAAATTTTCAGACGACCTCAAGCTGGCAGGAATAGCCAACACTGCAGAAGACAGGCTTAAGATACAGGAGGATCTTGACAGACTTGAACATTGGGTGCTATCTAACAAAATGAAATTCAATGGTGAAAAAAGTAATGTTCTACATTTAGGTAAGAAAAAACAAATGCACAGGTACAATATAGGTGCTACCTTGCTCAGCAATAGTAACTGTGAGAGGGATCTCAGAGTTCCAGTGGACAATCAATTAAATATAAGCCAGCAGTGTGCTGTAGCTGCCAAAAAACCCAGCACAGTGCTAGACTGCATTAACAGAGGGATAGAATCAAGGTCACATGAAGTATTAATACCACTTTACAATGCTTTCGTAAGGCCACACTTGGAATACTGTATCCAGTTTTGGTCACCAGGATGTAAAAAAGATGTTGAGATTCTAGAAAGAGTACAGAGAAGAGCAAAAAAGATGATTAGGGGACTGGAGGCTAAAACATATAAAGAATGGTTGCTGGAAGTGGGTCTGTCTAGTTTAATGAAGAGAAGGACTAGGGGTGACATGATAGCAGTGTTCTGCTATCTCAGGGGTTTCCACAAAGAAGAGGGAGTCAAGCTATTCTCCAAAGCATCTGAAGGCAGGACAAGAAGCAACGGATGGAAACTAAACTAAGAAAGAAGCAACCTAGAACTAAGGAGAAACTTCCTGACAGTGAGAACAATTAACCAGTGGAACAACCTGCCTCTAGAAGTTGTGAATGCTCCAACACTGAAAGGTTTTAAGAAGAGACTGGACAACTATTTGTCTGAAATAGTATAGGGTTTCCTGCCTGATCAGGGGATTGGACTAGAAGACCTCCAAGATCCCTTCCAATTATATTATTATTGTTGCTGCTGTTGTTGTTTGTTTTTGTTGTTTATTAGTATGTCCTGAGGACAATTCAGCCATTGTAAATGTCAGAAGCAACTTTCTGTTCTTGATTATTTTAATTTTTACATATAACTTAAAGATAGAATTTCCCCTTCTGCCCTACAATAACTGTTAAATGGAAGGAAACTTAGGGTTCAACTTAAGATGCAGATTTACTAAGGAAATTGCTCATCACTAGATGGAGCTATTAACAAATAAATTGCTATAAAAATTACAAAAAAGAAAGACAAGACCATCCTGGTAGATAGCCAACAATAAAATACAATTCATTCATTCCTATACTGACAATGTCTTGCAAGGTTCCATTATATTATTTTGTACAAAACTCATGTGCGTGTGACAACTTTACTAGCAAGTACAAAAAATAATAGAATGAGAGGCAAAGTATCTGTACTTCTGGAAAAAAAAAACCAGAAAGTTTACGTAATAATGGTCCATCTTTTAGTGGGACTTTAATATTTTTGGTTTTCTTCAGCTTATCCCTGTTCAAACAAATCATTAATTTGTCCTATTCCCATGCATCTTTTTGTATATTTCTAATACTGCTAATAGAATATGTTTAGTATATACATTAAGTTTGTAAGAAACAAAATACTTTTTAAAAGTATATCCAGAAACTAGACAATAAACAAAGCAATTCTTTGTTATCTATCATGTCCTCATGTGAATAGTTTTATTTATGAATTAATTTTTTTGCTGTAACTTGGATTCTAGCTCTTTCAACACCTAACATGTGCAAACACAATGTCTATGGAGATTCTCAGTCATCTAGGTCATAGTTATCCCAAATATGTTTTTTCATGAGGCAACTGGACTTAAACTCCTGTAAGTACTTATATGTATACAGACAGAATAGGCTGAATCAGGCTGCATGCTTATTTGTGTAGGGCTGATTTTGGAGAACTAAGAATGACAATAGGAAAGATATGTCCTAAGAACTTTGCAGAAGTCTACAGTTTAGAACCATGCTGCAGTTTGCCCATGCTGATAATTGGAAGACAATATATACATGAATGGTGTGTGATAATTTACTATGGCATTTCTCCATGGGGAACAGACATAAGCTTGAGAATTTAGGCAGCTTAACATAACATCATTCAATTAACCAGCTTACACATCTTGGGCAAAGGCTACAGAAGCCTAAGTTCTTGATATATTTTCTTTTATTAAACTCCATTCAGAGGCTCACAGCTAAGCAAAGTTTTCAACGAATTAACAATTTCACAGAAATGGAAAAGGCAATTTAAACTAATGTATCTATCTTCTTGCTTAGTCAATGCAAAAACCCAAACTGAAGCACCCACAACAAATGGCCATCTAGACCAGAGGTCACCAACCTTTGTCAGTTGGCAGACTGGAGGAAAAGAGAGGGGGAAGCATTTTACATGTGTGCATGCATGTGAGCACGGGGCGTGAGCATGTGTGTGCCCCAAATGGGACGGGGCTAGCACCCGCATGATACTCACTAGCCCTGCCCCGTTCTTGTGTGGTACAGCGCCTTGTTTCTGCAACCCATGGTGCAGCGGGGGCCATTTTTGCACCTTGCAGTGCGGCAGTGGTCCATTTCCACATCCCACGGCATGGTGTCGTCCGTTTTTGCGCCTTGCAGCACGACAGTGGTCCAGTTTTGCACCCTGCAGTGTGGTGGCACCCATTTTTGCACCCCGCAGCACAGCAGGGGACCATTTTCACACTGGCCGGCCTGTCCTGCGACCCAGTGGCCAGCAGGCCACAGTCCATTACTGGGCTGTGGCCCACAGATTGGGGACCCCTGGTCTAGACTCTGCTTGAAAATGTTATTTTATTATCATCACCACTGTTTTTTTCTGATCCTTACTTTTAAACCTGGACTATCTTATCAATAACCATAATGAGCTACCATATATTTAACCAATATATTCTTAATACATTGCACTATTTTAACTAAATTTAATTGTTGGAACTATTTTTATCTCAAGAGCAGAGAATAAATGGCTTTTTTAAAGTAACAAACAGATTTGATTGTACTTACCCACTTGTAATATCATCAGTTCTTATATTTTTCCCAAGGACATCTCCGTCACTCATATAACCTGTTGCATCCATGTTGATTCCTTCAAGATCTACTTCATCACCTCCTTTGTCTGTGATATCCATGTGGCAAACATTATTGTCCCGAGATGTTGGGTGTCTTCTCAATGGTGCTGAATACATGTAACGTCCTGGTTCTGCATTGATGAATCGGCTGGCATTGGCTCTTGGAGGATATCCATTACCCACTGATGGAGCATCACCTGCCTGGAGGCGGGGGCTGGACTGTCCAAGTCTCCAAGATAAAGGTGTTGGCCTACCAGTCAAACTGAGGATGCTGCGTCCGCTTATTTCAGTGGTGACATTAGTATCAAAGGTGGTCTCCAAAGTGCTTAAAATAGGAAAAGATTCAAGGTGTAATACATTTCAACCAATGTTTATGACAAATGCTAGAAATATTTTATTTAATATATCTGGGATGAGAGAAAAGCAAAAAAGGGTTTTTTAAAATCTTACTAATAAACTATGGGGCAGAGGAATATTAAATGTTGGCTATAGAAGGCAACGCATTTGGTCAAGGCAACCTACAGAAGTCCATTTAATACACTTGTACATCTTAGGTGGAATCGTGTTATGATGCTTTCTTGATGAGACCTTTTGTTAAAGATTTCAACCATAACTCTTTATTATTAATAATTGCATTATTTACCAATGCTCTGTATACTCTGTATAAATTATCTAAAAACAATAAATGGCTGTGGAACTTTAATGAATAAACCTATGAGACTGAACTTGTTAGAGAGAGTTTCCAACAGTGAATTCATTTTAGCTTCTTTTCTTATTTTTATTTATTTATTTTTTTTATTTTTTTTGCAGTTAGGGCAGAATGTATCATTGGAAATACTACTTCTGAGAAAACTATTTGGTATTGAGCTTTCAAGTTTTAGGTGTGATTTAAGGACTGTTAAGTTGTCTCAGGCCCCTGTATTACGTTACTGATGGTTTTTTCATATTTTGTCTTCAGTTTGTTGTATTTTTTTAAAAATTTTGATTGTATTATTTAAAAACTAGGAAAGCCTGGATGAAATACGTGTGTCTGGGTAAGTAAAATGTCACCGTTGAATCATGCTACTTCTTTGATGTGGTTTTTTTCCCAAGCATTTAGCTGATTGCCTGAATTGGCAATGTTATTATGTGCTACAGTGCAACAATAGACCATTTTGATTTCTGTTTGAAATATTACTAGTGAATCGTTTTCACTGCTTTAAAATATGACCATGCATACCTCATTAATAGAATTATAAGGCTTTGTTTATTCAAAGGCCAGGTAGGAATTCAAGCTATGTGCCTTATCAAATAGGTCAAATACAGTTCAGTTGCTTGTTTAAACACAATAATGTAGATCTGGTTAAAATATGTTAAGTTTCAGAAGTAAACCTAGGTAACTTTTAAAAAAGTAACCTTTGCACCTTTCTGTTCAAACATCACCTAAAAAATATTTAACTAATATTTTTCCAAGACTCAACCTTTATATACAGCCCTCTCTGAAATGGTTTCTTCCAATTCCTAAATTTAACTCTTCATTAATCTCAGTTATATCCTAATATGTACAGATTCTAGTTTTTCACATAAAAAAAGATAATGAAGTGCAGTGTATAGTCAAATTAATCTTTAGTAATTCATAATCTTTCAGAAGCAGAAAGAAAGTAAAGTATGGGCAAAATAGTTCTATTCCTCGTAAAGAAATAATCCACGTGTCTTTTACCTATGGGACACCTGGGTTCCACGTAAACTAGACATGGTCTCTTCTAAGTTTTGCCGAAGATCAGCTATATTCTTGACAGTTCGTAATCTGCGCGTTTCTGGATCTTCCCCTATGGAAAATGCAACTTTTAGATAAGAAGTAATTTGAGTTTATCAGTAGAGTATACACACACACACGTTTCACATTTCCAACTCCAAAAATACTTTTCTATTTTTGTGTTATTTCAGACTCTGTTTTTTTGTAAGTGGTGTTTAATCGTGGGCTGAATGAGACATGATAGGATATAATCAATCTGACAAACATAGGCCTCTGTTGTACACTAATCTGAATCGTATTTAATATTCAAAATTATTTGAACTATTGAAGGAGCCGTTATGGCACAGAGGTTAGAATGCAGTATTGCAGGCAAACTCTGCCCACAGCCTGGAGTTCGATCCTGATGGGGTTCAAGGCTGACTCAGCCTTCCATCCTTCTGAGGTCAGTAAAATGGGGACTCAGATCGTTGGGGACACTATGCTAACACTGTAAACTGCCGAAAGAATGTTTACAGCACTATGGGGTGGCATATAAATCTAAGTGTTATTGCTATTTATGAATGTATTCATTTCCACTATCCCCAAACAATCTCAGGCTCTTGCTGTTATGTTTGTATCCTAGTCTTGTAAAGAAGTTTTAAAGATCAATGTGGGTTTGAAAAACTCTGATTGTGTTTCTATTTGGATTCCCATCTCTTTAAACCTGCAATTTTATCATCTCTGGAGATATCTAATGTACATTTGAAACAAATTAATCTCATTGTTTCCAAAGGAGTGGTTTCTTTAAAAAAAAAAAGAATATCTATTAAACACTTTATGGCAAAACACACACTGATTTAAACTAGCTGAATACAAGGCTTTGTAATTTCAGGCAGACTGCAATCTACCATTTATTATAAAATTGAAATGTTATGTTATGTTATCTACCAGACTGCATTCTCAATAGAAAAGAACTTGGGGAACATAGAAATACTGTAGTGTATCAATCTGATAAGGATAACATCTGGATGCTCTCTAGAAAATTAATAAACAAAGGATATCCATCTTAGAGTAAGGAATACTGCAGAAATTACTTTAGCTCACCACCCAAAATTCATTTTTACATGTTATAACCATAACAGCAATTACAGCAATTGTTCACTTTTTATGTTTCCAAAGGGAGAACAGTTCTCGCTCTTTTACCTAAATATGTTTTAGTTATCTTCAGATCAAAGCATGTCTCTGTTCAGAAGTTTCATTTCATTCAAAAGCTTTTCCTCAAAGGTATGGAGTAATACAACTTTAGTCTACAAAAACATTTCAAGTGATCATCATAAAAGGCAAGTCTGAGCTCTCTACAAGCTTGAAAAAAAAACCCTCTTCTCTATACCACTTATTTAAATGTATTTTATTTAAAGCATTTTACCTCAGGTTTTTTTTATTTGTATTTAAAATGCACTTAAAGCAGCTAATAGAAATAGAATACATTTTAAAACATCAGTCAATCAGAAAAGTAAACACTAATTAATAAATCAACTGAATAAATCCAGCAAAAAGCAAAAGGGAAAAGCCACAAGTTCACCTGGAAATGGAAAGAAATGATGTTAGATTAAATTCAGGCCACAAGTAGTTTTATAAAGTGGGAGCAGCCAGTGAGAAATCTACCTTCTGTGAAGATATTGGCATAGCTTCATAGAATCCAGGTGGGACACAATGACTGGGAGACAATCCTCTTTTGCTCTTCTAAGAGACTGAGCAAATTTGTGCAGGAATAAGAAGTCTCAAATGCTTTGTTAATATTTGTCCTAAATCCAGGTTTAACAAGAACTTTGTGAAACCTGAAGAGCCATTTGTAACCTTAATGTTGAATCTTTAGTAATCCTTTATTAAACATGTGAATAACTTTCTTTCCAGGATTTAGTGCACAGGACACCGATGAGGAAAAGTTATAATAAAGAATGCTAACATTTGGTGGAAACAATAGCTGGCAGTTTGAAAGAGCTGATAAATGCACGGTAGATTTCTGTCCTTTTTTTTTTTTCAAACTAAAGATGCTTGTTTTTTAAAAAGAAACTTTCTGGAATCGTGGAGACTTTAAACTCAGTTTACATTCTATGCAAATTAGCACTGCATCTTGTCAAAATTAGGGATTTTGAAAAGAAATATCTTCTTTGGATTTAGAGGGCATAGACCCCTGCCATGGCCAATCCACTTTCTGTCAACCCTTGAGTTCTCAGCAGCTGCCATCAATGCAGAGAAGTCGGGATCCTCCAGGTCTGCTGCTTGATGAGAAGGTGGCGGCATTGGCTAGTAGAGTGTTTGCACAGATTCATCTTGTGCACCAATGAGCCCCTTCCTGGACTAGGAGGTCATGCTCACAGTGACTGATACCTTAATCATTTCCCAGTTGGATTATTACAATGCGCTTTACTTGGGGCTGTCCTTGGAAACCATTTGGGAAGTTACAGGCAGTGGTGTGTACAGTTTGAGGTGTTCACAGGTTAGTCAGGATATACCTCTATTGTACAAGCTATACAGGCTCCCAGTCTCATTCTGGGTACAGTTGGAGCTACCTTTAAGGGCCTAAATCAGGGGTCACCAAGTTGTGGGCTGCGGCTCACTACCGGGCAGCGGCCACTTGGCCACTGGGGCGCGTGAAGGTCACACTGCGCTAGCGCCACCCTGAGCATCCTGCTGGCACTAGCACCATCCTGCCCTGTGCGTCCCACTGGCACTAGCGTCACTCCGAGCATCCCACCAGTGCTAGTGTCACCCCATCCCCAAGCATCTCACTGGCACTAGTGCCGCCCATACTGTCCTGCCAGGGTATCCTAAGACAGAGGTTCCCAACCCCCCCCCAGTCCATGGATCCTTGGCATGCCAGAAATTGGGCTGCGCAAAAAGCAAAGCCCCATCTGTGGGATGCAGGCAGCACACAAAACCACGGCCTCTCCGGTCCGTGGAAAAAGCTCTCTTCGTGGAACCGGTCCCTGGGGCGCAAAGGATTGGGGTCTGCTGTCCTAAGGGGACGCTTAAGGTGCAAGTTTTTGTTTTCTTTTACTTTCTTTTATGATTGTTTTATGGTTATTGGTTTTGTTGTTATAATCTGCTTGTTTAAAAGAGGTGACCATATACATCTTTTAAATAAACAAATAAAATATGATTGGAAGTACAACAAGAGGCTCATGGAGTTGTTAACTTAGGTCCATGTAATTCAGCTTTCTCAGTCTACTGCCCTTTAAATATGTTGAAAGAGCAACTTCTAAAATTCCCAGGGAATGATGGTATAACTGAATTTGTCTAAGTATCTCTGGGCTGAAATGATAAGATTTCAGGCATCTGTAGAAATACCAAATCCAATTTGTTAATTATCTTTAACTGCTTCTCTTATTCCTGTACTGTACATGTTTTATTAAAAGTCTATTTAGAAACCTATTGAACAGCACTAGCCACTTATCTTCATGAAAATATTGTTCAGAGCTCACAAATGGCTAAATAATAATCTGTAGAATATTAAAATCTTTTCTAATCTTTTGTACATTCATAACCTGGATGGATGATAAATTAGGTACAACTGTACAAAAACTGAACACCAGGGTGAAGGATTAATTGTGAGAACAGAAACTTTTGGAAACTTTCCAAAAGCTGTGTAACTTCTAAATACTAGCCAGTCTCTTAAAGATAGACCAACCTAATTATCCAAACATGGAAAACTAGTTTTTAGAAAGGCAAGAACAATCAAAGAAATACCATGTGAAACAATGAAAACAATTCTGAATCTCTAGTCTAAAAAAAAAAAAAACAGAATAAACTTCTGGAAAATGCTCAGCACCAACTCTAATAAAGAGCATGTTGAATAATTACTAACTGCCATTCCATATATCGCTTAACATTGCAGCCAAGTGACAATATATGGCTTAGAGCACGGGTGTCAAACTTGATCGCGTCACGTGATGTATCGTTGATTTTTTTGCCCCTGTGGAGTCGGGGTGGGCATTGCCTGCGTGTGACACATCTGGCCTGCGAGCCACCAGTTTGACACCTCTGGCTTAGAGCTTCAGTAATTTTAGGCTCTTGAGGTATTTCTTATCTAGAAACTATTGTCATCATAGGTGGCTATTTTTCAGCATAAGAATTATATTGAAATAATATGAGCAGCTAGCATTGTATATCCATTTTTAGGTGTACACTAAATTTGTAATATTTCTATTATGAATGCAATATTGATAAGTTTTTTTTCAAAGGATTTGAAAAGGATTTGCCAGTGATATCACTGTTGCCCAGGGGATGCCCAGTTGGGGGGTGTCCTTTCATGTTCCTATGAAATTGTCCACCGAAGTGGTACCCATTAATCTATTCATAGTCACCCACTTTCGAACTGCAGGGTCGACAGAAGCTGGAGAGTGTGACAGGAGGTTACCCTGCCCCACAGCAGCAATGGATCCCAAACACAAATCTGACTGACAGCCCAGTGTTTTAACCTTGTAAACCACCGAGTTCCTCTTATATGTTTATAGTTAACTAGTTTCAGTATAATATACATACACTCATTTTTAAGAATCCTTCGTAAGATTAGGCCTTTGAACACACAACTGATATTTCAAGAATCCAAACTCCTTCAATAGAATATTCTTTATAGACTTAAATATCAGGAGTTCAGACAATACTTCAGAGTCACGGTTTTGTGTATTTTTTATTATTTTTAAATTATTATTTTAAATTATTAAATAAAGCATTCTGGCCATTTTCCATAAATTCCACAATAATTATTTAAGGCAGAATTTAGCATTTAAGAGAAGTGGGCATTTTCACTAAGTTAGATATAAAGTTTTTAAAAAGCTCATTGATAAGGATTTACATAAATACAAAATAGTGTTTACAAAATAGTGTTTCCTTTTCTGACTTTCCTGAATAAGAACCTGCCATTAGTTGCTTATGCAGTGAAGATACTGAAAAACTCTGTAAAATGAAGCACCAAGAATAAATGTGCATGCTGTCCTCACTCTCACGAAAGTAACAGCCTAAATAACAAAATAAACCTTCTGGAAAAGCATCTTTTTTAATCCTCTGATTTGAAGACTCAACACATACTATCTCTTACCAGAAAGATCTTCTAAAATAGGTTGTCCAGTTTTTGTGCAGGGAGCAGATTCCATGCTTGTGCTTCCTCCTCCAGTACCGGACTCTGCTGTTATGTTTCCCTCATTGTCTGTCTGGGATCTGAAGTAGAAAATAGAGGTCAAGAAAAAGGGAAAGACATTCATTCATTCATTCATTCATTCATTCATTCATTCATTCATTCATTTGCCAAAAAGAATTCTGGCATCAATATAACAATGCTTGCAAGTATAGCATTGTGTCTTCTCCATAGGATACACTAGCACGCTGTCTGTACATAATTCATTAGTCCCACGTTGTGCTATGTCCTAGATATGGAAACAGGCACTGAACTGTAAAAAATATGAAATTTCAGCTGCCAAAAGGCCTTCTGCCATCATTTTAAATAACTTCTGTTCTAAATTAAGTTTCCAATCAGATCAATAGTCTATATTGGTGGCCATCATCCAAATATTGTTGAGGGCAATGGTATTCATGCCGGTTAATCTTTATCTACTTATTTATTTCAATTCTTTCATAGCTAATAGGGGAAGAAAAGATTTTACAAAAATTACATGAAATTCTACAACAAAGTTATGATAGGATTTGCAGATAGTCAATTTAGATAGAATTTTCTAATTCATTTTTCTAATGATTCTTTGAGAAATTAGTTGAAACCGAATAGGATAAGAAATATTAAAGGCTGGTGGCGACTATCTTTTCATACCTCTCTAGCCACTGGCATTATAAACAAAATAAAAAAAAGTGTAGATAAAGACCAATGCTACTCCAGGCTACTTGCATAGAAAACAGAATCACATGGCTTTTCATCTTCTGTTTCATCTTCTGTGAAAGAAGACTAGGGATGTATTCCTGCTCTGTTCTGTTCTATTCAAATGGTATAGGATCTTCTGCTTGACCAAGGAACTGGACTAGAAGACCTCTAAGGTCCCTTCCAGCTTTTATTCTGTCCTGTCCTGTCCTGTCCTGTCCTGTTCTATCCTATCCTACCCTACCCTACCCTACCCTACCCTACCCTACCCTACCCTACCCTACCCTTCTTTATCTATGTTCTGATGTAATAATGGCTGTTAATGACAGATGAAATTGGGCTAATAAAATATTTGGAGTGAGAGGAATAGTATTAGGTAATAAATAGTCTTTGTTGAAAATCTTATGATGCTATTTATCCTTAGAAGGATCTGGCATGTCATAAGTAAAATATTATTATTTAATCGTGTAATCTATTGTATTAATTCATACTTCACCTCTTTGACTTTCTTCCTGAACATTTTTGCTTTAGTCTCAATTTTTTTTTCTACCAAACTATATCTATAATCACATAATGTCTTAGGCACATCAGACAAGACTGAATTCACTTTTTCAGTCCCCCCCCCCAAAAAAATGTTGCCCAGTTTATGGCTTTGGTAGATGCTGGAATGTAGCAATTAACTGACTAGTTTATTACCCTCAAATTATGTCAATGAAACCAGTGATGCTGGTATCTATTTTTTAACCAGTGTATCAAGCCAGAATATTTCTATAGATACTATATAATTACAGAGAATCATTTTTAATTCTCAACCAAAGCAGTTCTATGCCATTAGGGTTTGGCATAAAGATAACAAATCTATGATTTTATAAGATGAAATTGTTGTTTACGTCATAATGAATTTTCTCTTTACCTACCTATCACTTTTTCTTCAAGAAAAAGAGGAGGAGGAGCACGAGAAGAAGGAAACTTTTCTTGTATGTAATAGCACATTGCCCTCAGCCAAATGGTGCCATGTTTTCTCAGGTCAAAAGCTACACATAACCTCTAACTGTTATGCTAAGGTCATGTTACAAAAAGTAGCAGAGCTAGAACAATGTAAAAAGGCTAAAATTAGATGGGACTGCAATTGGCCAACTTTCCAAGGACTACCAGTATCTGCATTCCCATGACTTCAGAATATGCACTGTTGCCCAGGTCTGTTTAAAATAAATAGCACCAAGCAAGTCAGCAATTACTATAGTTTTCTTCATCCTTGAAGAAAGCCATACCAGGAAAATCTGGATATACTAGAAAAGTCAGAGTTGACAAGTTATGATTAAAAAGTGCTCCTTACCTGTACATGAACGGAGCTACTGTGGCAGTATTTGGATGGCTATATTGCTGTTGCGGATGAGGTAGCTGAACACTCACAGTATTGCTTCCTGTTGTCTGGGTGGTACTGTTAGTTGGCCCATTGACAGCATGGCTGCTGCTGCTGGAACTTAAAGCTGACCACCCTCCCATTCCTCTCCCGTCAGTGGATGCTAAACTTGACGTGGAACTTGAATTCTTGCAATCTAGCTGTGCTTTTGGATGAGAGAGGCTGGTGGCTGGCTTTGCACTTCGGCTTCTTTCACCTTCTTTTGCAGAGCAACTTGGGGCACTTGAGGATTTCCCTGTGGTGTTTTTCATCCCTGGTTTTGGTATTCCACTATGTGAAGGGGCAGCTGCTTCTTTCTTGGCACTGTTGAGCTTTCCTCCTTTGGGAATAAAGCTTGCAATCTTGGAGGATTTTTTTGGCATTTCGTTTACAGCAGGAGGGACCTGTTCTTCCTTCAGCTCTTCTTTCATGTCAGCTTTTTCTATCACGGAAGTTCTCTGGGCCACATCTTTGTTTTTTTCCTTTTCTTTCTCCTTTTCCTTTTCCTTCTCCTTTTCTTTCTGTTTCTCTTTTTCTTTTTCATTGCCCTTTGGGGAACTCTTTTTATTGGTCAGAGCCCGACTAAATGTCCGTTGTGCAATTCCCTTAAGTGCAATTTTGGGACTATTTGATGTGGGTCCTGGGGTGTTTAAGTTCCGGTTTGCAGCCTCCATCTCCTCACTTTCTTCAAAGTTTGAGAGGCCCTCTAATCTTTCACAGCTAGTGTCCCGCGACCCCGGACATTCAAGAGATGACCCTACTGCTTTGGAACCCCCTTTTGTATTGAAGAGTTTCAACTTCTCCAGCATTGATTTCTGACCATTGGGAGTAGTTTTAACCATCTCTGGGAGAGGTTTGGAAGATTCCTGAACCTGCTGTTTTACAGTTAATGTGGATGTTGTGGTTGTGTGCTTAGCACTTAATGATTTGCTGCGCCAAGGTTTGACTGCAGAATTGGGCTGGGGGATGGCTGAAGAGTTATTGCAACTGGCAGCATTGTTGCTACTGCTGCTTTGAACCAAAGAAGTTGCATTTTCATTCATTCCTGTGGGTTGGGGGTCTAAACTGTCTGCTGGTTCTGGTGAGAGAGAAAAAAATAAGATACAAGATTGTTCACATTTTGAGTTTAGATAAAATCTTCAGGTGAACATGATTTGCTTTCATGGTATTTCAGTATTTAACGCTATTTCAAAAATACAGAAATGACATTTTATACTCTGTCTGTCTATCTCTATTTTTGGACTTGAAAAAAGATACGGTTGGGGGGGGCAGACTAAATAATCAACTTTTGGCAATTGTTAAAAGTTTTATTTCAATTGCAAGTTTACTGAAAACTCTATCTCTTTCTTACTGCTCTGGATCATCCAATCTACATTTGTTTACCCCAATTATAGTGATAGAGTTTGGAAGCGGCCTAAATCAAAGCTATGTTTCAAACAAACAAATAAATATGAACTCAGTCTGTGTGGAACCACCCAGTTTGACAATCTTGAAAAATAACTGAACAAACAATTCCAAATGTAACAAGAATCAAACAAAATAAAACCAACATTCGCATATCAGAATCACCACAAACAAAACAAAGTCCACAAACCAAACCAAACCTTAAATATACATTTCATTTCCTAATCCATAAAACTAAAATTTCTTATACCTTTATCCTGACAAGAATTCATGTATGATCAGTTTTATCTTAAACTGACAGCAGCTATATTAAGAAGATATAGCTGAAATATTTCCTTGATGAATTTAAACCTCTTCTATGTTCTTTTTTTCTGATGGCATTTCATGTTTTTCTTTTTAAAAAGAGAGCTTAACAATCTCCCTTACTCACCTCTCGAGAGCCACTGCTTTTTAAAGCTACTCCTTGCAAACTTTCTCTTCTGGAGACATTACATCCCAATTACTGCAAACACATCTTCTGTTAGACTGCTGATGTTTCCAATTAACTTTTGTCATCTCTCACTGTTAGCCTGCCCTGCAGCTTGCTGGGGATTAACGGCTTTTACCTGCTATCCTGGATCCTTGAGCAATAAACGGCAACTAGAGCTTCTTGTGCTTTTTGAACTTAAAAATAAACAGCAACCGGCAGTGAACGTTTGCAGCAGTTTGGAAAAGAACTGTGAATGTTGCTTTCTGAATCATACACTGCTGAAGCCACAGAGAGTCTCTTTGACTTCACTTTTAACTGCTCACGGAAGAGACAGCTCTGTTAATCTCACCAGTGTGATTTGCATCAAACTGCTTCATATTTCTAAGCACACCCATCTTCCTTACTTAGCAGAGATTTGGGTTTCTAAGAGACTTCTCCTGCAGTCAACTCCCACTGTCCTAACTGAAACAGCAGATGTGCATGCTCATTTTATAGAGAGCAGGCATTGCTAGGATTGGAAGATTTCCAGAGTGTCATTAATTATAAATGGTTAAACTAGATAATTTCTATTGCACTTTTTCCCACTCTCACCCACCCACCCCTTAGACCAGAAATTTGGAAAAGGGAACCAACTCAGGTCTAAATGCCTCACAGAATGAACTAGATTTATAGATATTTCTTTTTTTTAGGTGTAGTTAAATACTTAAGCAATCCCTTTTCATTTTGTAATTGGGATAGAAGTTAAAAGTTCACCCGGAGGGATGAATACACATGCAGTCAACACATACAAATCAGGTTATACTAAATATGTCTGAAGAGCCAGATACTTAAATATATGATTTTATACCCAACTGTAAGCAAACTTTAAACTACCTGTACAGATCAAGAAACTAATTTAATTCTACAGCATCAGCTGCAGCAAGGAGGAATTATTCATTATTTTATTCCAAGTTCTGTATCCCATCCTTCTGATGGATATGCATCATTTAGCTGCATGTAGAATTAAGATATTAAAGACTGCTTTGAACATTTCCAGAAAACGCTAAAATCCTTAGTCCTTTAAAAAAAAAAAATAGTGCCTTAGATCAATGCTGACTCCTGGACTAACCCCTGCAGTTTTCTTGGCAAGATTTTCAGAAGTGATTTGCCATTGCCTACTTCCTAGGGCTGAGAGAGAATGACTGACCTAAGGTCACCCAGCTGGCTTCATGCCTAAGGCAGGACTAGAACTCATGGTATCCTGGCTTCTAGCTTCGTGCCTTAATCACTGCCCAAACTGGCTCTCTTAGTTCTATAATATTTCTAAACACTTCCCAATTATCCCTCCCCATTATACCTTTTATTATAAGCAGATTGTTAATTCCTTAAAACAGAGAAGGGTCTTCTGTTATTTTTGTGGAAAACTCATGGGGATGGAGTTGCATAACGAAGGCAATGGTTCATTGGAGGAGGGCATTCATTTTTGGCTTCTACTTCTCATTCACCTAAATCACAAACTGCAGAAATAGTAGTCATGTCTTGATGCCTGCCATGACTGATTGTACAGAACTTTTGAAATTAGGCTGAAGTTTATGGGCAGCTGGGTAAGAGTTATATGCAGCCCTTGGGGCATTAATTATCTAACCTTGCCTTCAATAAAACACCTGTGAATTGTATATGAGAAACTGATGGGTCTAACTATAGATGGAATCCACAAAATGGACCCATCCCTTCTTTGCCTCAGTTCCAAATGTGAATTTGGGACATCTTCACAGATTTGGAAGCTGCAGAGGTGTCAAATGAAATCTAGTAATACTTAATATTTAAGTATTACTTGTTTATGGGTAGATTGCAAAACTTTAGTAATAGTAATAGTAGTAAAGTTGGAGGTCATCTAGTCCAACCCCCTGCTCAGGCAGGAAACCCTACACCATTTCGGACAAATGGCTGTCCAGTCTCTTCTTAAAAACTTTCAGTGTTGGAGGCAGGCTGTTCCACTGATTAATTGTTCTCACTGTCAGGAAGTTTCTCCTTAGTTCTAGGTTGCTTCTCTCCTTGATTAGTTTCCACCCGTTGCTTCTTGTCCTGCCTTCAGGTGCTTTGGAAAATAGCTTATTCCCTCTTCTTTATGGCAGCCCCTGAGATATTGGAATACTGCTATCATGTCCCCCCGTGTCCTTCTCTTCGTTAAACTAGACATACCCAATTCTAGCAACCGTTCCTTATATGTTTTAGCCTCCAGTCCCCTAATCATCTTTGTTGCTCTTCTCTGTACTCTTTCTAGATCTCAACATCTTTTTTACATTGTGGTGACCAAAACTGGATGCAGTATTCCAAGTGTGGCCTTACCAAGGCATTGAAGAGTGATATTAATACTTCACGTGATCTTGATTCTATCCCTCTGTTAATGCAGCCTAGCACTGTGTTGGCCTTTTTGGCAGCTGCAACACACTGCTGGCTCATATTTAGGAGATTGTCTACTAGGACTCCGAGGTCCCTCTCACAGTTACTACTATTGAGCATGGTGCCACCTATGCTGTACTTTAGAGACAAAGCATTCTCCTCAGTTCCCAAATTTGAGCTCTAGGGAGATCCCTGGACTCTTGTGTTAGGATTTTACCACGTACTTCCCTTATGACTGAATAAATGCCGATCATTATTTCAGCTGCTTTTTCTGGTCACTGATTTTGGTCCTACTTCAGTGATATACCTTCAAACATTTTATTTCAAAAAGAAGTTCTTTGCACTGAGTGTCTCAGATTGTCTCATTTTTGCAACGAATAAAATAAATTCCCACCTGTCATCTCCCCTGAGGCAGTTTTGTTTCTTCAAGAGTGTTTGCCAACTTTACTTGACAACAAGTGAGACATGTTCAAATTCAAAATATGGTTAGGCTAAATAACCACTTTCTCTCCTCCTTTCAAAGGAAGAGCTCGACTTGGAATTTATTTAATTCCCCGTGTTTGTGTTACAGATTCGCTGGTGGTCCCATTTGAATGCCAATGAATATTGTACCACAGTTAGCTTGAATTTCATCAGCTCCTGTAATATCTTGACTGCAAATTCAAACCTAGCCACTCACAATGAAACTATGTCAATAGTTTAAATTGTTCTGTGAAATGTTTGTGTAAGAAGAACTGGAGAAAACGCATATAATTTCCCATCATTTGTCAAGTTAAACCTAAACACAGGCTGCTTCCTTATGGTTACCACTAGCTATAGAGATTTGTCACAAATAAAGAAAATTATTTCTAGAACATAATTCTAACTAACTTTAGTCACTGGGAAGAGTAAAAATGAGTTTATAAACACTAAGGGATGGGAGGGGCAAGTTTGTGTGTGGGAAATCTGTGTCCTCCCAAATATTAAGCCTTGGGAGACAACCTCTCACTGTCGCTCATACAGAATTACAGTAGGGTGAATGGAATTAGGGACCACCCTATGACCATCATTTGCAATTGTCAGTTAAATGCAGCTGGTCTTTCTGAGAGAAAGCAATGGTTTCCCTCAGATAACATGTATGTGACTTCCCGTACTATTTCTTTAAAGGTCCTAGAGGTATAATGAATCATGGAACTGCAGTTAGTTTATTTCCCCACTCGCTAAACTAAGTATTACATGACAAATGGTGCATCTCCATCCAAGAATAAACAAAGTCCAGATTGACCACTTTGAGGTTACTGAATTCTACAGATTTGATCTACCAACAGTGATAGATGATGTTAATGGTGTTCCACGTAACCCATCAATGTCCGTGGAGTAGGTGTCTACCCTGGCCTCTTTCTGGCTGGAGACAGAGACCAGGTGCCAAAAGTGTGGGAATCATATGGCCTCAACCCTTAAGACCTGGCTTTTCCTTTAGGTCCTGGGCCAAGAAATTATGTAAGTCATTAATATGTGACTTTATTGAACCTAGTGCACTCTCTCTCTCTCTCTCTCTCTCTCTCTCTCTCTCTCTCTCTATATATATATATATATAATATATATATATATATATATATATATATATATATATTTTCTGAGGTTTTCGCGGGTGTTTGTATGTAGGTCTTTGGTTGTTCGGGTTTTCTCCCGCGTAAAATTTTACGCGGGAGAAAACCCGAACAACCAAAGACCTATATATATATATATTACATGTTTGTTATTTTTGCTATTAGCCACCCAGGGTTGCTTGGCAAATGGGCAGGCATGCAAATTGAAATATTAATTAAATAAAATTTTATATG